ATTAACTCGCTTGAGTCGCAAAAAATCGGGTACATAGGCACAATGAATCAACGAAGTGCAAACATACCTCCAGAGTCAAAAAGGAATACAATAATTGAAAAAAAGAAAAAATTGACAAAAATGGAAAAACAAACTTCAAAAAAGTTAGAACAACTTGAGAAAAGAGAAACCGTGTTAATTATAAAATGGGTATGTTGGCATCACAGAACGAACTAAATCGGGAAAAAATGGATATTTTGGAAAAAGAAGATGATGAAAATATCCAAAATATTAAAACTTCAAAAATGGAAATGGAAAAAATTGAATTGGAAAAAACCCGATTAAATAAGGAAAAAGAAACCAATCCTCAAAATATTCGGTTTTGGAAACAGGATTCAATCCTTTTAATTTCATTAAATCGGAAAAAACTAAAACTATGATAATTGCAACAAATTCTCTAAATGTCCCGATAATTGACAATAATAAGGCCAAATCAGAAATGAATGTATTATATAAATACACAAAAACACCTGTTGATACATTCGATTTCCTATGTCAATAATATTCAACAAAAAACAAAAACAAGGAGATACAATATGGTCGTTTTTCAAAACATTCTGGATTGTGCAACGGTTAATTCTTATGGGATGTTTCGGGATGTGATCCAAAATGACCACTTCACTTTTCTCGTTCGATTGGCCAAACAATTGTCAGAAAAATACATCAAAAAACGTCTTGTACATGTTGTATGAAAAAAAACATAAGAAAAAAGAACCATGTTTATAGCTTGTGGTCTTTTGGATTGGTGGGAAGAAGCAAACTCCCCACAAAAAGAGAAAGAAAAAAAATATGAAAGAAAATTTGCTTTACGAAAGCAAAAGTGCCACCTTTGCGTTGGTTCTAATGCGAGCAGGGTAAAAGAACTCTTTTTGCGTTGTGGAGAAACCACTTGCTTGTATCATTCTTTGATGTTGTGTTGAGTCTGTTGGAATTAAAAAGAATAGCAAAACCAAGAAAAAAGGAATTTTTTCTAATTGATGGTTTTAAATTGTTTGGTTGAAACTTTTTTGTTGTTTTTTAAACTATATTATCATTTAATAAAAACGTGTTTGAGAAATTATTTTTATTGTAATTATGCAATTCTTTATTTTGTTATCAGGTGGATTGACATTGTAGGATGTGTTGTTATGTTAAGAATTGACATTAAAAATATTTCTTACAAAATTTCATACAAAAGATTATTTTCGATGGATCTTAGGTAATTGAGTATTTAAATATTAATTATTTTAAGTAAAATAAAACTAGCTATTGGCCGGTTTGGGTTAGAAAGG